ATAAAGTCTACAAATTTGTATTAGCGGTTTAAATTTAATAACCTCTACATTGTTGCAAAATTTGTACATTAAATGGGATTATATTAGTAAAAACTTTTAATTGTATAATGCACTTTTAATCTGAGGCCACGGCAGTGCTCTCGCATCCATACAATCCTTTTCGAGAAGCCATTCAGGACATTTTCGACCGTAACTTCGTTGTGGATAAAGCTAGAAGCCTAAGTTTTCAGTAACTAAGAGGACATAATATAACTAGGTATATTCCCAAATTACATTCTATTTGAACCTGCCCTTTAAGAACTGTTATGGGTCAAAGTTCTTTAATTTCGTCACTGATCATCAAAATTCTAAGGTACTTCTAGCAGACACTTCAAATTTTCACACAATTACTGTTTAGTTTGTAAAGCAAAGAAATCTGGATAACTGGATTCCATATCCTAAAGTGTTAAATTTTACTTAAAATAGGTGGTTTTTCCAAAGTTTTATTTAATAAAACGGAATTCCCCTGTTCCTCTACCATGGGTATGGAAAACATTAATATTATGTCGACGCCATTTAAGCTCAACTTTGTATGTTTCAGATGATAAGCAGACAAACAGAATAATATTTAAACTCATGGTATCAAATTATAGTTATTCAATTTTATTTATATAATTTATAAGCAAACGAATCTATTTCTATAAATAAAAGTCAGCTAATTCTAATAGTGGTACAATTTGCTTATATAGTAATATTATACTTTAAAAAAAGTATTGTTTATACTAATACTTCTCTATCAATGAATTTTCCAGAAAAAAATCATTTTTAGCCATTAATATACAAAGCCAATGTAATGTAATATCATCAGAAATAATTTTTAAACATAATAAAGATTCTGTGAAAAATACTAAGTAGCCGACTCAACTATGAATCTAGTCTAAAATAATATACCAGACGTTTTTCAAGAGAATGATAAAACTTTTGACTGTGCTTCCATTTTCTTAAATAAACTAATCTCCATTTCATTTGAATGTTATTTTTTTATAATTTAACATTTACCTATTTCATATTTTATTTCAAGAACTACTTAAATAATAATTCAACAGAGAATTTTCTTTTACAAGCAAATTAATACAATATTCTAAATAAGTTTATTTCCAGTATTCAACATTCAACTTTCGATTAAAACCTGACTATGCTTTAGCAAATATTTTAATTTATGTTAATTTTATTTACTAATATTATAGCGAGACACAATGGAAAGGGTACTAAGATCTGGTTATATGTATTAGTGTTGCATTTCAAATTATTATTTGTAATATATAATAGGGGTTAAAGTATGAAATTGCCGTTTTATTGTAATAGGTACTTCGAATTGACATAGAACCTTCATGGTTAGAGATTTTTGAGTGAAACTTTTTTCACATGGAACCTATTTAGTTCTTCTTTTAAAAAAATTATAACATTCGATTATCGACTTTCATTTGTTTGTTTCATTCAGCTTAGACAAGAAAAAAGGATACTTCGAAAATTCGAGTGATTTTTTAATACGCCGTCGTATTCGCCAGACCTTGCTCCAATGGACTACCATTTTTTTCGTGATTTGGACAATTTTCTACGTGATAAAAAGTTTTCTTCTCAGGAGGCAGTACAAAATGCTTTCTCACACAGTTTGTCGAATCTAGATCACCGGAGTTCTACCGCAAAGGCATAAATGACCTTCCTATTAGATGGCAACAATGTAATAATGGTAATTATTTTGATTAAATAAATATGTTAAATAAAAAAAAAAATTCAGTACAAATCGGCAATCCCATTTGTTCATAATAGGGGTCAAAGTATACCCCTATTATGAACAAACGGTATTTTCCTGAAACAAGTAATAAACGAGAGTTGGAAGATTTAATTTCCTAATTTGCTAAGTAAGCTTATATAAAACTTCTGTATAATTTAAATAAAACGGGTGTTCTGAATTACTGACGGGTGTAATATATTTTTTTGTCTCGTTGTTTGTTTGTTTTTATGTTTGTCTGAACGCGGTAATCTCAGGACCTACTGATCCGTTTTAAAAAAATCTTTTTGCATTAGATTGCCTGTTTATTGAGAAAGGCATATTTATGTTTTATATCATATAATATATGATATAAAGAATAAATATCCATATCCATACTAACCACGAAGAGAGAGTGAGTCGCTAGTATTTATTATACATTAACATTTAGTTTAACAACGTAACACGAGGCGAGCAAAGCCGCCGGCTAAAGCTTATCTTATAGTACTTTTATAATTCTAAATTTTCTTAAGTAACCAAAGCAGAATATTTTCTTGTTAAGAAACAAGTACAGTGTTGTAAATTTATTCCGCTTTAAGAAAGTCGGCCTTGAAAGTTTCTTAACTCTCATTGGTTAAAGACAAAAGTTGTGACAAGTATTTTAATTTCAAACACTCAAAATATTTAACCTAAAACGCAAATTGTCTGTCTAAGACACACCTCTCGGCTGTGTAACATTAGTAGCAATAAGGGTTTTTGAACTTTCGCATGTTTATGCCCTGAGGGAAATAGAAAATATCCAAATAATCATATTTTTATATTCTCTAGAGCCAAAAGACCAAAGCTATTAAAATTTATAGACTCAACAACAATGTAAGCTGTGCACATATTATGGAACAAATGGAAAAATAAAAACCTGTAATAATATATATGTAGTCGAATACTAAGTATAATAGTCGAAAATCAAGGACTGTATATATATATATATATATATATATATATATATATATATATATATATTAGTTAATGTTTTGTAAATTAAAGAATGGCATACTCAGAGCGAGCAACAACGTAGGAACAAAAATCAAATATCAAATCGATTTTTATCACTATAAAAAATTCCGTAGTATCTTGATTGGTAATACTTATTATAAAGCAAACTAAAAAATAACACCAGACTAAAAATAAAAGAAAACATATTTTTATATGCCTTACCCTTTTATTTCCTTTTGCTGTTTTATTATGTTTTTTAATAACCAGCCATAAATAGATTATGTGGAAACAAACAGCTTATTTCGATTTAAAAGCTACAGACTTTAAAGTTAGTAAAGCAGATAGACAATCGATAGTTACAATTATATATTACAAATGCCCCATACCTATGCCTATTTCTAAAGAGAGGGAAAACATCCACGTTTTAATTTATAAAAACTAGCGGCTCACCCTCGCTTCGCTCGGGTTCGTCGCTAGGTACGTTTTAAATAGATATAAAAAGAAAAAATCTTTCTTTCTCACATTTTAATTATATGTTTTAATACTTACCTATTCCGGACTAAGAGAAATCCAAAAATTAAAATATCATAAAAATTGGAACGCGGTCGAACGGGATAAAAAGTATCCTATGTCCTTCTCCTGGCTCTAAACTACCTCCCTGCCAATTTTCAGCTAAATCGGTTCAGCCGTTCTTGAGTTATAAGCGAAGTAACTAACACGACTTTCTTTTATGCCCGTCACGCCACCTCATAAAAGTTTTGGATATAAAACTTTCTTTTTTACTAGCCCTTGTTTGCTATTCAATAAAAATGAAAGAATTGTAAAAATTTGTCCCTTGCGTAGAGATTTTTTTACGATTTATAAAATTTATATTCAATTTCCCGGACATTTTTCATTTTAGGTTAAAATTTATAGATAAATATAGCATACACTATTATTATTTACTTTAGTCTGTATATAAATGTGAATGTTATAAATATGAAAGTTTGTGAGTATGTATAGCTATTTGTTACTCTTTCACGCCAGAACGGCTGAACGGATCTGGAGGAAATTTGGTACAGAGATAGATTATAGTCTGAAATAGTACATAAATGACTATTTATCCCGGAAAAATATGTGAGATAAATTGATTTTTGTTTTTCTAGACGCGAACCCGAACGAAGCGAGGTTGAACCGCTAGTTTCATATAAGCATATCAAATATTTGTAGAATTTGTATATACATAAGTTTCAAAAGTAAGAAACTAGACACGAAAATTGATTAATTAATTATTAACGTTTCTATGACGTAAAAAATAAACACAGCTTATACTTCCTAAAAAAATAACACAACGTATGGTAAAGTATAATTACTCGGTTTAAAATGAATAGTTTTATTTTCATACAGCTTTCAAACTTGTATTTATTTAGCATAAATAATACGATAAACCAGTTAGCTTACTAAAGCTTATAAAAGCTCATTTCTGAGTACATTTGAAAGTACTGTTGCCATTGCTAATGAACAAAAGAGGGCAGAAATTAACAATCTAAATTCAAGATGGCTTTAAAATGCGAATGTTTAAATGAAATATAAAAAATTATAATATTGACTCTGAATAAAACCTAAAGGTTAAAGAAATTAATTGTGCTTCGCATATTACGATGATATCATTTAATCGAGTTAAATATAGCTAAATTAAAACAAGTTAGGCTTTGAACGTATAAATTTGAAATGTATATATCGTATAAACATATATATATATATATATATATATATATATATATATGTTTATATATATATATACATATATATATATCCCCTTCCTTCCGGACCCCTGTAGTGAACAGACGTGTTTTGCGTAATAAACTGTGCCCAAAAATAATTAAAATATGACATTTTTAACTAAATAAATTCTATAAGAATAATAGGACAACAGACACTTGAAGGAGGTGTATGGATCTACGAGTAATGCCAGCGCGCATGAATAAAGCCAAGCTGTGAGTAACTCACAATTATTTATTCACACATCTAAATCCCAACGAGCGAGATAGAAGGATTGCACTAATATACAATCACTCGAGAAAACGTAATTATTGACAGCTACTTCTATCAAGCGTACACGCCAAAGGTCTACATACAATGGACGGAAAACGATTTTGTTCTACATCGTCGATCGCCTCCATTATAGCTTGACCTCTGCAACTTACTGCGAATATACTTGTAATTTTTACTCCTATTCTGTTCGCCTGGTAATTCGGCTTGTATTAGCATTAGAAACATGCCCATAAACCGCACTCCCCCCACCTCACCGCACCCGCTGACGTCTGTCGCGGGGACAGACGAGCCTGCGACCACATTGCTTTGCTTTGAATCTACATTGCATCAGTGCGCTTCCGCGCCTAACTTATCTGCTGACTCAAATATAACGGAACGGAAGAAAAGGAAGTTTGACGGGGCGGTTTCGAATTCTTCGGAGAAAATAAATAGAACCATGTTTGCTGCATTTTCAAATAAACAGGAGAGTTACTACGAGGATTTAATGAGTAAAATGAATAGTATAATTGAACAAAACGTCGAATTAAAAAAGAGTGTTGAAATGATGTCCGAAAAGTATGATGAATTTTTAAGTCGTATAACAACTTTGGAGGCAGAGAAGAGGGAAGACAGAAAGTTGATTCAACAGCTTGAGGATAAAATAGAGCTGCTAGAGCGCTCAACTCGGGCTACAGGTATAGAAATCCGTAATGTTCCGAAAACTGAGGGAGAGACAAAAGATGATCTATGCGGCTTAGTCATGAACCTGGGACAAAGCTTGAACTTGGATTTTACTCAGACTGATTTAAAGGATGTGCACAGATTTAAAACAAAAGGCAACTCCTCTCCCATTCATGTCAATTTTACCTCAGTTATAGCCAAGGAAAAAGTCATGAATGGCATAAAAACCTTCAATAAGAATAAAGATAAAAGTGAAAAGCTCAACACTACTCACTTGAAAATCAAACATGTCAAACAACCGGTTTACATATCAGAATGCCTTACCTACAAAACACAGAAATTATACTATCTTGCAAGAACACAACACAAAAACTATGGCTACAGCTTCTGTTGGACCTCCCGTGGTGTTGTTTATCTTCGAAAAAAAACCGGTGACCCCCAAATTCGAGTAAACTCGGAAGCAGATTTTGAAAAACTTCGATGCTCTAATTCTATATGACTAGTTCCATATATTAATATAAGTTTTATATTAAATTTAATACATGTTAAAATCTATTATACTTTTTTACACACAACCCTTACAAACATTTACACCTCAATTATACACTTCATTGCACACAATGAACATACTCATATACACAACCACAATAAATTACTATACATAGTTATATTATCATACTATCACACACAAACACACACTCACTCTCTGTTAAATCCGTTTGGTAATAATTTATATAAACTATATTTTTATCCTATTTTACAAGCTTATATTTGTTTTCTCAGTCTCTCAGTTATAACATGCAGGCTGCAACATACGGTCACTTATTTAGACGACATATTAATTAATATTATATTTCTTAAATGGCTACTTTAAATAATATTATACAAGATCTGGATAAACTCTCGGTAGCTTCATCATATAAATGCGATACTGAAACTTGTTGTAAATTAATTAAAGGTATGAATAAATCATTTAATATTATTTCTCAAAACATCAGAAGTATACACAAAAATTTAGATGACTTTATTGTACAACTTTCTAGATTTACTTTTGAACCTGATATTATCATTCTCACGGAATGTTGGCTGTCGGAAGATAGACCCCCACCGTTAATAGTAAACTATTCTTGTCATTTCTCTAAAAAATATCTCAACCAAAACGATGGCATTGTTTTATACACTAAAAGGGAAATAAAATGTACAGTTGTAGAACCGGACCCAGTAGGTGCAAACTTCCTATTGGTTGATTTGATTGGCTGTGATATTGCTATTCTAGCGGCATACAGATCCCCTTCTATACATTGTATTGATAATTTTCTTAAATCTCTTGACAATTTACTACGTCCTTGTACAAGTAAAAATATTATCCTTATTGGTGATCTCAACATCGATATTAAGCCAAATAACGTGGATAGAAATAGTTCTATATATTTAAATCTTTGTGCCGAATTAGGTCTACTCCCAGGACACACTTTGCCAACCAGAATAAACAATTGTCTGGATCATGTCATGGTAAAAACTCAGTTGCCAGCAATTATCACAATAATAGAATCCACAGTCACTGATCATGATATGGTTATCCTTAGCTTATCCTATACACGTAAGCAAAATTCCTGCAACCAAACTTCCAAAACTGACCTTTCAGCAGCTGTTAAACAATTAGAATCAACTGATTTTTCTTTTATTTGCCCAAAAGGCAGTGCTGAAGAGGCAGCAACTCTTTTTGTTAATAAATTGTCAACCGCAATAAAATCTAATACTATTAGTTATACTATTCCCGCACGTAAAAAAATTTTGAAACCGTGGATTACACCCGGCCTACTACGATGTATTAAACATAGGGATAGATTGCATAAAAATCTAAGAAAAAATCCTGACAATGAAGTACTTATAATAACGTATAAACGCTACCGAAATTTCTGTAACTCATTGTTAAAGAAATTAAAAAGAAATTATGAAAAATCGGCGCTAGAAAATGCAAGAACAAATAAGGAAAAGTGGTCTGCTGTTAAAATGATTACAGGTTCTAATAATCAGAAAACTACTTCAGAGTATCTCCTTAATATCCGAGAGAACCCCTATGACGCTGTAGATGATGTAAATAAATATTTTTCGAATGCTGGAATGTTACTTTCGAACAACATTAAACAATCACCAAGTACTACTTCGCTCGCAACCAGTAATTATATATCTTCCACCTTAAGCTCGATGGCTCTTCTACCACCTGATGAAAGTGAAGTTGAGGCCCTGATCGTTAACCTAAAAAATGATAGTGCTGTTGGTTGGGATTCAATTTCAAACAGGTTCCTTAAAATGGCAAAACACATTATAGTACCACATTTTACTTCTTTAATTAAATTATGTTTCGAACAAGGTATTTTCCCCAAAGTGTTTAAAAAAGCTTTAATAACGCCTGTGTACAAGAGTGGGGCACGAGACAGTGTAACTAATTATAGACCAATTTCGGTGCTTCCAGCGCTTTCTAAAATATTAGAAAGAATTTTAAATAATCAACTAGTAAATTACTTGGAAACAAATCAATTACTATCAAGCTGTCAATTCGGTTTTAGAGCGGGAAAAAGCACTGAATGCGCTGTCGGATCTTTGATGGAATATGTCACAACAAATCTTGATAAAAAGCAAAAGTGTGTAGGTGTTTTCGTAGATCTTGCTAAAGCATTTGACACTGTCTCGATCCCCATTCTTGTGGAGAAGATAGAGAGATATGGCATACGAGGAACAGTACTGAAAATTTTTACTGACTTTCTCACGGATCGACAACAGAGGGTTAGGATTGGCAAATATGTCAGCTGTGATGAAACCGTTACCTGTGGAGTTCCTCAAGGCAGCATTCTCGGTCCAAGTCTCTTTTTGTTGTACATAAATGATCTGTGTCAAATGTCACTCAATAATGGTAAAATTTTCACCTATGCCGATGACACAGCGTTTGTATTCCATGGGGAGACTTGGGATAAAGCTTGTCAAAATGCAGAAATGGGACTTCACAAGGCTTATCTCTGGCTAAATTGTAATTTGCTAACCTTAAATCCTGCTAAAACAACTTTTGTACAGTTTACAAACTCTCGGAAAAAACATCCCGTTGTAAAAATTCGTCTACACACGTGCGATGTCACAACTAAACAAAACTGTTCATGCCAAGATATCGGTAGAACTGCTGTCGTTAAATATCTCGGAGTACTTGTGGATGAGAAACTAACCTGGCGACCCCATATTGACATGATTGCTTCTCGAGTCAGGAAACTGACGTGGTTGTTTAAAAATCTGAGGCATGTGGCTGATTTTCAACTATTACGTTCAGTTTATTACGCACTAGTCCAATCTGTCCTTAGTTATTGCATTGGGGTCTGGGGAGGCTCGCCCAAGACACACATGATACACCTCGAGAGAGCTCAACGCTCCGTGCTAAAAACGATGACATTCAAACCATATCGATTCCCCACGCGGTCATTGTATGACATATGTAACGTGCTGAGTACTAGGCAGTTGTTTATTTATCAAGTTATTACGAAACAACACCGGTCTACTCCATATGATCCCAACTTACTTCGCAACAAACGGACCATAATAAACATTATACCCCCCAAAAAATGTCATAGTTCCATGACTTGGCGTCAAGGTAATTCTCTCGCCGTATATTTATACAATAAAATTAATAAAATTCTTAATTTTTACCCACTCACATTACGTGAATGTCAAAAAAAAGTTAGAGATTGGCTGCTTACACTTAGCTATGAGGAAACGGAAAAGATATTAGAAAGAAATTTATAAAATGCTGAACGAATACATACGCACACGCACATACCCACACACACACATGCACTTACACACACATACACACAAATATACACTTACTCACACATATACACCCACACACACACACACACACACACACACACACACACATGTTTTATACTGTATTTTTACGTAACTTCACTTAGTACATTTTTGTTAAAGTTAATTTTTATTTTACTTTTATTTTATCTCTTTCTTTCACAAAGAATTTCTAAAATTAAGTTAAACATGCACAGTAATATTATTGACCTCCAATTATCATAAAAGATGGAAGAGGGCGCTGACTCCTGACATACAGGTTTATTCTAGTTTGGGAGTCAGAGGCTTCAACAGGCTTATGTAACAACAAACAATTGTGTCAATAAAGATTCTATTCTATTCTAAAAAAAAAAGAATCATCTCGGTTTAATTCTAAAGTCGAGATATCATTTTACAACCCAAAGGGTTAAAGATTAGCTTAAAGACAAAAACCTTCATGGCGTCTAATATCATAAATGTTTTGCAGCCATAAATAAATAACGGTTTTAGAAAGATTATCCAGTGACTTTAGAAATGATTTAGGCAGACATTAAATCAGTTTGTTATTTTTAGTTTTTTGCAAATTGTTAGGCTTAATTTGCTTATTGTTGGTGAAATCGGGCATTAGTCTTATTTCAAGATTTATTCAGATAAATTCAGGTAACGTTTTCTATAATATGTAACACTAGCATTGCCCGCGGCTCTGCCCGCGTTCAGATAACCAAAAACAAAATTCTTAGGCTTTACATATTATAGTATACTCTTACAATGAATTTTTTGTATTTTTTCTCAGAAATGAGATATTTTCCCGCGGTAAAAAGTATCCTATATGTTGACCCGGATAACCAGCTATCATCATATCAAATTTCATCAAAATCTGTCTAGTAGTTTTCTCGTAATGCGGTAACAGACAGACAGACAGAAAGACAGACAAAAATTCGAAAAATATAGATTCGGACTCTGTATCGATAATAATGTCTATTTCAATTAGATTTACCAAAAAATATTTAATGTACAGATTCGACTTTGTTACAATTTTATTATATGTATAAATTATTTTTACATATTAAGTACATTACAGGATCTTAGTATACGGCTGGTCTTATTTATTTACGAAGGCGATTTACCCACACTTCGCTCCGGTCATTGCCATTAGAACATACGGAAAGCTTGCTTTATTATCTTAACTAATAAATAAAGTTAGTATTACAACATATTATGTTTGTTTTACGGGTTACACAACAAATTGCCTACGGAGATGAACAGCCTACGAGTGAGCACAGCCCGGACCTATTTGTAATAGGAAATAATTTTTGAAACACTTTTTTGTTGAATATATGTATAAAATTATGTGGTTTTATTCAGTATATAGACAATTTTTTAAATAACAAATCTTTTTAAGGTTTTACTAGAAATAAAAAAAAAGTTTACGTCAAAGGCATCTATCCAATTTATCGTCATATAATTTTTGGGCATATTTAGTATTAGTTAATTTAATACTTTTTAAGCAATTCTAGGAAATTAAGTTAACCTCAGAAACGAAGCTGGGGTAAACTTAATTATTCATGTACTTAAACTCACTCTATATCAATTAAGTCCGAGAAAACCTTTTTGCTTTGTAGAGAACATCAACCCGAGAGATAGCCAGTCTTGTAAAATTAATAATTTGTTTCTGGCTTAAAATAAAAATATACCTTTTCTTATGAAAGGTTTTTCATAACAATTAACAATTAACCTTTTATGTAAAAATGTTTAGAATAATGAATCGTCTTATTCTAAGTTTCTTATGCCCGATTTCACCAACGTCATCTAAGTTTAAAGGATCCCCTAAGCATGGCTAGGAGGCTGTTAGGGGTCCCCCCCAACGTGCGTTCACCTTGTCGTGGTGGGGGGGCTCAGTAGTGCCCGGCAACCCAACCGGGCGCGAAGCCAAGAAACGCACAGGGAGGTGGCCCACTTCGGTGGGCGGTGGAAGGTAGCTCCTGGTACTTCTCTGATAGCAGAGTGGACTGTGGAGCAACCCCGTGGTTGTCGTGGTCTGCTTCGGCAGACCTGCCGTCGGGGCGTCGTAGTTGAATGCGTAAGCGATCCTGCGACGCCCCATTAAGACGGGGGAAGGTTTTGTTGGGTTTTAGTGGGTAGTACTGGCTTTACCGGTGAGTCCCACACCTCGTGCGTAAATGCATTTCCCAACGTTAAAAAAAAAGGAGGCTGTTAGGGGACAGTTTCTGTTTCACCGACAGTTAGGGGTCACCGAAATATTAAAAGGCCCCCTAAATTTAGGTGCTCGAAATATGGGCTTAAAGACGATCGTAAAACGAAATTTAATTTAGGAGCTAGTTTAGGGGGCTTTTAAGCTAGGGATCCCATACGTAGGTGGTAGCTTATGGGTTGTTGGTGAAATCGGGCATTAGACTTATTTCAAGATTTATTCAGATAAATTCAGGTAAAGTTTTCTATAATAATTAGCTTAAGTACATAATATAAATATGTTTCTATCAGTTAAAGTCTGACCTTTTAATTTATGATTTTTGAAGCTTGCTTATAGATGACACAATACTATACGTACAAGTACATACATTTATCAAATTAATGTATCTATTTGCTCTTAGCATTTGGACCTTTACAGCGGCGCCGGACAGGAGTAGTACATAAGTGGTATAGATTAAATGGGGCTATATTTATTCGGGCTACCTACATATAAATTACAATAAAGAAGGTTGATCAATCTATTTTAATCTATACATATAATTTTATAAATACATATGTACAAAAAATTGTGTAAAATATAGTTAAAACATTTGAATTTGATTAAATAAATTTCAGAGACATTAAACCTTTTAAACAGCATCATCTATAAATATGCGGTACAAGCTCTAATATCTCTCTATTCCTATCACTCTCATACTCCGGTGATATTATGTCACCAAATCAATCAATCGTCAGTAAGACGACGGAAATTTGTTTTTAGAAAACATATTTATTTGACAAAATATTTCTTCTTTGATAAGATATTTCTTTTTTTTTTAATACTTAACTCAGCGAGCAAAGCGTCTCTGCTTCAAGTCTAACAAAATTTGCTTTCCTCTGTCAATTTTTTGGTGCTCTATATGTCGTATTTTACAACCGATCTGGATGAAACTCGGCATATAAGTGTCACGACTTTATAGATTTTTTTGCCATCGGGGATTTTTGATTGGAGGGAAGTACCTCCAAAAAGGGCAAGAAGAGGGTTACTGGATATCTCCGCCTTGTAAGATTCGATTTCGATTCTTTTTTTATTTGAAAGGTAATATTATAAACATCAAATTGGTTTCATAAAAATTTGGTGAAGGTCTGATGAGGATCTTCGTCGTGATGAGCAGAATAGCTCCTCAAAATGCAATTTGTGCTCACGAGGTCTACTGTTCGCATTTCGCAGAAGTTAATAAGTTTTACACTTGAAAGTAAACATCCATAACAAATCTACACATATAACGCCATCTATTGACATTTATTTAAACTACTATTCTTTTTGAACTTTGAATCTTATTGATAGCGACATCTATGGAATATGATGAGAACTACGACGTTCATAATATAAGGGAGCGTAATACGTTTCATATTTTCTTCAGCATTTGAAAGATGGCAGTATATATTATATTGTTTATCATTAGCAATCTGATGTACTTAAATATTTTTTTTATTTATTAAGGTTATCAACTTAGAAAAAGTACTGCTTTGACGCATCACAATTTTAATGCATAAATTATATGGACATAGATTACGAAAATGTTTCGAATCCATCGTCTTCCATTCAAGTATATAATTAATTTGCATTTACATTTATATTTATTATCATTTTTATAGCACCAATCTATGGTCTATTCTGGAACAATAAAATAGCCCAATTTGTACCTGTCCATTGTCCAACATCTCTGTATGAAAGTAATGCCACATGTGGTCCTGCTAAAGGATTCGGGTTAATGAAACAACAATTTATTTAGTAATTAACTATTCATATATTTCAATAGTATCTCTTATATTATAACTATATCTTCTAACGCTCCGCGCTCGCCATATTTGGTTTAATTCTAAGAGAAGAATCAACAGTTAGTGTCAAACAATCATTTATCAACAGTCGAACAAACATCTAAAAGATTACATTTAATAATAAACTAAATGTAAACTTAGAAATATGTTAGCGTGCGTCAACTTAATGATTCAAAATACTGATTCATCTCCATTACGGTAATATTAACTATGCTATTTAGTTGGGAATGTTAACTTTGGTATAAAATATTAATTATAAACAACAAAACATATTCAAACTCAAAGACACTCGAACGATTCTTATATCAAGCATAAATTAAAAATACTGATTAATTAGTCTAAGACCGATAAAGTATATTTACAATGCCATAAAGGCTCCATGAAGAAAAAGACCTCATTCATAAAATTACAAACGCACTATCAAAACATGTTTTGTTTCTCTCGTTGAACGACTGATTCTGGGTGCAAGAGAGAAACAAATATATTTTCGTGCGTATTTCTATGAATAAGGTTTTAATCGTTTTATGTATATGTTTAATGTTGCTGACAAAATGACAATGACAAATTATTTTGACGTTTTTTAAAAAAAAAACAAATGTATTTTATATTGACACAAATCATATAAAAGATTTATATATAAAAGAATTGTGATACTTTAAATATTCTATAAAATATTTTTTCTAATGCACCATAAATATAGGCTTCCACTACGAAGGCTTTTTGTAGGTACCGTTTCTCTAAATATTAATAATGTTTTCGAAGAATTTTACATTTCTATACAACAAATACAATAATTACAATTTATAACATCGAGTAATTTTTTTTTTAATTTTTAAATGAAGAAATAGGCAATTTTATAGAAATTCGTAGTTTTACCATTCATCTCTTTAACTACTTTTTTTTCTTCTAAACGACCTTTAGGTATTTTGAACATTATATACGAAATATTTTAATGTTACATTTTCTACACTTTGTCAAGTGAATACACAATTTCCTAAAATAATACACTTACACAATTTGCGTTCAAAGATCTATCGATTTTAATGAGATGAAACTATCACAACATATACAATAAAGATCTGAATAATTCACAATTTGCTAGAAATTCGTATATTTATGAGATAAATAGACTTTTACGTTATTATAAATAAACTGGATACAAAGAAATATTACGTATACCCAAAGGTAATATTGCATATAATCGAAAATATTGCACATTTTCGAATTTTCGAAGATATCAACGTCTACTTAGAGTGATATTTACTAATAAAAATCGACAAATTTCTTAATTCGAAATCATAGATAGAATGTATTATCCGCTAGATGGCGCTGTATATTTTTATCAAATCGGCATTTATGTTACGTTTAAATTTTAAACATATAAAGCGCAGTAAATGAAATTTAAATAGCATTCATTTATTACGTAAGAATTGTTTTATTTGAATCTCGATGGGAAATTATGAAATAGAGTAACTAGTTCAAAGAGACATAATACAGCTATAAAAGTAAATAAACTTAGAACTTATGACTATGTAGTAAGGATCACTGACATTGTCAAAAAACCAGAGATAACGAGCTCGATTCTTGTGCGGGGCTTTTGTTTCAAATTTGTCTTAGGCTTGTGGAGGCAAGCGCGGGATAATCGACGACAATAAAGTAAGAATTTCTTGATTAATTCTGTTAACCCCGTATTTTTGTTTTTCATTAATTATTATTATGGAAGAAACAAAGAAAATACGATTTTTATCAATTGTCTACGTAATATTTGAATGCTGTACAACTAATAACTACTTCAAGCGGTGGAATCGTGTGAGGAAGGATTTGGTATGATGGTAGTAGTCTCTCTGAGCCGCCTCTCCTTGTGCGTGGCGGCGAGCTCGGCCTGCAGCGTCATCACTCGCTCACGCAAACACTTTATCTCGTTTTGCCAGGTCTGAAAGTAAATTATATATTAAAAATATCATTTTATATACAGCAAAAAAGGTTTATTATATTTAAAACTAGCAGCTCACCCTCGCTTCGCGCGGGTTCGTCCCTAGGTATGATTTAAATAGATATAAATACATAGTTATCATCCAGCGAAATGTTAATTTTTTCGATGTTTTAATACATATTATCCTATTCCGGTATAATAGATCTAAAAAAATCAAATAAAAATTGGTCAGCCGTTCTTGAGTTAAAAATGATGTAACTAACACGATTTTGTTTTATAAATATATAGATTTCTATTAGATTTTGCTGTTAAAAAGGGCTTAGAAATTATGACATTCTACAAGTGGTGAAATGATTACGTCACAATAATCATATATTTTTTCCATTTTTTTATTTTTACTCTATACTTACTCGCATTGAGAGAGGTCCGTGCCCAGCAATAGATAAATTGAATACTACAAAAATATTCGTAATAGGTAGGTAGTACTATTTTCTTAGATTTACTCGAACTTTCGACATTTCAAATAAAACTATCTTTACGGAACTATTTTTTGGTTCCCGACGTTCTTAGTGCCACTCTCCCGTGACCACGTTTGCTGTAAAACATTCTAAATCCTAAAAGACAACAAAGATTTTATTTAAAATTATAATACTTACAATATTCTGCTTTAACAGATCGAGTTTGTCGTTCTTCAAGCGACACACCTCCTGCCGCAGCAGCTCGGCGTCACGCGGCGCCGGCGCCGGCGCGTCGCGCGCCGCCGTGGCGCCCGCCTCCGCCGACGACATAGACTCGAGGCCCGTGTCGCTGTCTACGTATACTGCACCTGGACAATGTTCATTAAAAGATAATTTTCTCTGTATGTTTCTATATCTTTGCTGGAAACTATATATGGATACCTAAAGTAGATAAGCTGGTGGATTGTTTAGTTTTATTTTTTGAAATTGTTTAATTTTTAAGCTTATGTTATCGAGTTATTATTTGCAGTAATTATATTATTTATTTTACAATGATTTATTATAAAATTAATATTAAAGAAAGAAAAAGATAATCGTATTAATTTTACGTTATGTAAGTTAATTTTTTTATATAAATACTTATACTTCTATTAGTCACGCAATAATAAATTTCGGATTTGACTTTATTGAGAAGATAGATATAATTAAAGATGTGTACAATATTGCGTCGTATTTGTAAAGTAAGTTTTTAGCGCGAACAATATTTAAAGCCAACTTTAAATCAGATTTCATCAAATATTCCAAGTTGTACAAAAACATTTTTAAATAAAACAAAAAAATAATAATATAGTGCTCGAAATAAAATTAAATGAAAACACTTTATTAAGTACTACGATCGCATGCTAATATATTTGTGCTGTACACCAAGCATGCCTATATGTACTGTTATACACAGATTACAGGACTAACCTGTTGCTTTACCACAACTCAGCCAGTCCTTGTCGTCTATTAGAGGAGAAAACACAATTCAATACATGATCGTCTTATATACATAATAATATATATATATGCATAATAATTGAAATGATCAAAAAATACAATTAAAATAAGTATATTCACTACAAAAGAGTCTAAATTAACAAAAATATATATATTTATAAGTATTTCTGGAGGGTATAATATATTCTAAATGAAAATGAGGTTCTAATTTATTACCTCGGATCTTAAAGTACTTCTTTTTAACAAATGGTGGATGTAAATTTAACAAACGTTGCTTAATTATATTACAATCTGTATAAATACGCTGTATTTCAACAAAATCTTTAATTTGAATTACATGTTTTTAATATATTTAGCAAAAGACAAATTGTACTAACTTTAGCTAACTACATTCAAAACATTTTACAAGAATAAAATTTAGATTTTTTGTAGAAGTGACACTTAATGTTATAAGTTATAACTACAAGTCAGATGATTGATGATAGAGTATATAATTTTTAAAGGGCGCGCTCTATATTTTATTTCTGACTGATAACTATCGATGAACTAACTATAAACAAGAGAATTTGCTAATATTACTATCCCAAATAGCAATAATTATTATAGTTATATCAACGATCATTTAATTAGTTTCTACACTCAACGTAATACATTGGTTTGTTGCATAATTATTGTATTGCAATATCGTAAATTAATATTAGATTTATTTAAAAAAAGCAACTGTTAACAGAGCTGTCTTCCGATCCTGTGGTAGCTCACTCGCGGAATTACATACTAGCATGTAATTTAAATTCGAAGTGTAAATTGACAAATCGAAAGTCTTCATAAAAGTCTATTCGAATAAAGTATATTTAGATTTTTTATATGTTTTTAAGAACATGTATATTGAAGTGAAACTTCTTTAGAATCGTTGTGATTTGAAACTCGATGCAACGGAAATGCGACAGTAAAAAGAGACAAACATATAAATATATAGGATTAAGCCGGCGATAGAATGAGATAGAATACATTGCGATGATGCCATGGTAACCGTTGTTATTTGATAGAATACATTACAAAGGAAGTGAAAAATAATAAAATTCATTACTGATTATTATGTAATGTTTATATTTATGTCAAATAAAATGTAAAATAACTTTTAAACTTGGTAAAAATAATATAAATAAAAAAATCCTTATGATTATCCTACTCCTGATACTCTATATTCATATCATTTTTTGAAGTTTCACTTCTACGATGTGTGAATTGCACATTTATTTTTATAATAATTTTAGTGGTAGTTAAAGTAATTTTAGTAACTGACCCAGTGGATCGAGGTCGACGGAGTTGAGGCTGGAGTCGTCGCTGTGGTCGGCGCGCGGGCGCGGCGCCGCGGCGCGCGACGTCACGTCGGGGCTGGAGCCGCCCGAGCCGCCCGCCGACCGCACCGACACCGCGCTCGCCGACGACGACGCGATCGACGATTTTGATCGCCCGCTCTGTCATATTGTATATTAAAATGTACTATTGCTACGATCGAATTTCTTTATAATCTAGATTTTTTTCGTGATGTCAGATGAAGCCATGGCTTTGCAAATTGCGGAATAGTACATGGGACTTACATTGGGATCTAGATAGGTTTGAGCTTATTTATCTTGCGCATTAACGCACAAAATTACTGACCAAACTCCTAACTAATCCCAATAATCAGTATTTTTATAGTAAACATATAGACCAGACCATATAAGCCACACATGTGTGCAGGCACATAGGTGTCTGTTAATAAAAAAAGGAAAATAAAAAGCACCTAAAGACGCACCCGAGTGAAGGCGTTAATTATAAATTATTAAAAATATATTAAGCTGAATTATTTTTGCTTATTGAAGTAAAAACTTCTTTAGCCGCGTGGAGCGATTTTTCTCATGAAAACTCATGGGTTCACATCAACGACACGCTAGTGGGATTTAGCGCCAAACTGGCGACGCGCAGCTTCATATGTTTTGATTAATAAATAAACTATACAAAAATGTATATAATTATTGCTCGGAGTGACAATAGATGTGAAAACCAGACTAATAATAATTTCAATTTATAAATTATGAATTTTTAAATATTCGTACTAAAATTAATTTAAAAATTAATTTAAAAACGCAGTTATTCCAAAGTTATATGTTTTCTTTTCGGTCGGCAGTTCATGATTGTCTATTTTTTTTTATTTAATCACACATAAACCTTTGAACGGATTGGGATATTGATTGGCACACAGACAGACATGTCCGCTGTTATCGTATAGGATACTTCCTTTTCCGTTACATCAAGTAGTTCTAATGACTTTTAAAGAAAGATATTTTAAAGACTCACGTTGAATTATAATATCCAAAACAATAAAATATTTCTTATTATCTTTAAAATAATAGTTACTAACATTGTTGTAAAATGTGAAACCTAACACTGGCAATATGGCATATGCCAATAATTTATCTATCTGTGGTTTTCCCTAGCGATAGGATAAGTTTACGTTGAATTTCTATATCTAGGAAAACTTAAAATAGACGGTTAAAAAAACCCAATAGTGTTTATGATATATGATAAGTATACACTTACGACTCAATAAAGAAGAAACGGTAAATATTATTTTTTCTTGGTAAAAATATTTTTTTATCATATGAATAGAATAAATATAACACTTACATTAGGGGTGGGTGTTTCGTGAAGATTGATTTTTTTATTCAAAGGATTGTTCTTATTACTGTCGCCTGATAAATTCGTGTCTACGCTTGGAGATCTGAAATTAAATGTTTATCAATATCACTTATATGCTATTATCTAATATATAAAATTCTCGTGTCACAGTTTTCGTTGCCATACTCCTCCGAAACGGCTTGACTGATTTTGATGAAATCTTTTGTGCTTATCCGGTATCTATGAGAATCGGCCAACATCTATTTTTCATCCCCCTAAATGTTAGGGGTAGTCCACCCCTAAATTTTTATTTTTTAGACAAAATTTTTAATTTCTATTTTTTTATGATACAACATACAAAAATACATACAATCCTCAATTTTCACCCTTCTACGATCAACCCTTATTTTTTAATAGCCATTTTAGTAATTTAATCATTTTTCCTCTCCGGTCGAAAACTGATCAATCGTCATACGGAAATCATACCTTAAGGGGGTGATAATTTGAATGAAAGTTTGTATAGGGAATCAAGCTAGGGACGAACCCGAGCGAAACGAGGGTGAGTCGCTAGTATTATATATTATTTTTAAATATGTGTCAAGGAAATAAATAATATTCACTGTTTTGTACTAACATTTTGAAACACCAGAAATAACTTACCTGACTTTCGAAATTAGAGCTTTTTTGACAGTATCAATAAATCTAGCGCCCGGTCCTTCTTGCTTCGGCGTCCCTTCGGGCTGAGGCGATATGGCGCCTTCATTTCTTGCCCCCGTACCAAGAAACTCAACAGTTTTCTCTTTCAATTTTTCTGCTAACGACTGCAACAACGATGTTCGAGTTCTTTGCTTAAGCTCAGCGAATTTAGCCGCTTGATAGCACGCGTTTTCAGCATTAATAAGCTTAGTAAGGAGGAATTCCTTTAATTCCCTCCCTTTACGAAATATAGGCGGTTGCGGGAGAGTCGGCCCGAAGAATGGCACGTCTGATCGAGCTGTGATGGCCACCTTGTACCTAGAAAAATAATAATAATTGCTGATTAAAACGATTTTTTCCTGAAAATAAGTAAAATAATACGAGTATTGAGAGTTTAATGTTAGCATATTTGCTATTTTTCCTAAAAAAATGTGATTAAACAATTTTATAGCACATTTTAATCTGTATAAAACTAACGAAATCTAAATCTAACCTAATAATATAATTTATAATAATCATCCTTTAATAAAAAATAAGCCATAAAACTGAATAAATTCGCAAACGACGCGACGTGAGAAATGAAAGCATGTTTATTTACAATCGGGTGAACAAACTATTCCCGTAAACCTACATCGAGACAAATATTAAAATTCAAACCGCCCTACAAACGAGTCGGTTGCCTGTAATTAAAATCATCAAAGAGAATCTTGCGCTCGGACAGCCTACAATTTTAGTAGTAAAAACTCCTTAATTACAATTCGTTTGCATATAAATTACAGAAAATTTCCATTCCCTTTTCCGAGCCATTTTCTCTTGCTTCATGCAAATATTGGCTGAGTTACGTTGTCGAAACAAACTTTATGCTAAATAAGCAACTTGACATACACAAGTAAGACGAGTTCAAAATATACCTTATTTAATAATTTAGGACACTGCTACTAAGACAAAATAGCTTCTTTTATTTTTATTACAAACAATAAAAGACTAACAACTATTCATAGGAATAATGAAGTTGCTTTTCGGTACGTGTTAAATATATATATATATATATATATATATATATATATATATATATATATATATATATATATATATATATATATATTTATACTCTGTGTTTATTAAAAATTCGTAGATATCTATTACGTTTCTACGAATATAATATAAAATTGTACAAAATAATAAAATTTTGGGCATATTAATATGGTGTTATATTTATCTAAATACATCATATGTTTTTTTTTTAGTGTAGGTTATTTATTTTGTAATCTTATCTTTCGCCAGTTCTTCTCAGCTCTGAGGCTTCTTCTTTCTGAACTGGTAGTAGACTCATGTCGTTAGTTATTTCGTTTTATATGTTTTATTATGTATACTATATGTTTTAATTTATATCTTAAAAATAACATCAAATACATAATCTATAGGTATATATAAAAGAAAGTCGTGTTAGTTACACTATTTATAACTCCAGAACGGCTGAACCGATTTGGCTGAAAATTGGCGGGGAGGTAGCTTAGAACCCAGAGACGGACATAGGATACTTTTTATCCCGTTCGACCGCGTTCCCGTGTGATATTGTTTGTCTGTTTGTCTGTTTGTACGGGCTAATCTCCGAATCTATTGGACCGATTTAAATGAAATTTTGCATGGTGGTACCTTATATCCCCGGACAACGTCTTAGATATTTTTTATCCCGGAAAATATAATGGTTCCCGTGGGATAGTTAAAAAACTATTATAACTTATACAACTTATGCATCTAATTTAGTAAAATTTAACATTCTGATACCTTATATTGCCGGTCAAACAACCGGTTACTTTTCATCCCGGAAAAATGAACGGTTCCCGTGGGAACTAATAGATTTTTATTAGTGTTTTTCTAGAGGCGAACCCGAGCGAAGCGAGGATGAGCCGCTAGTAAAATATAATAATAACATATGATTACCTGGTCTCCCCGTCAGCAGCATCGACGGGCGTTACAACAATAAAAGCGTGTAGAAAATGTGATGCGATCATGTCTGGCGTGAACGGTGTTGCTTTTTCCTGTAAACAGTTTGAACAATATTAACAATAGAAAAAAAATATGTTGCTATAGAAATAAGAGTGAAGAAGTTCATATCCCGATTCTCGCACTTTTAATTAGCAAGTGCTAATATTTTCACATGATTACAACTAAATAATGCGAAAGAAACCTGTCTGTCTGTAAAAACCAAAAGGGACGTCTAAAATTCGCCAACCCGCATTTTCCAATCCTGGTTACTATACTGTAATCCCCGTAGCATTAAAAAAAGGCGTGTGTCGAATGGTGTAACATTAAAAAAGTTTAATTTAATAAAGTTTTTTGTCATCTACATGATTATAAGAACGGCTAAATGAAATAATTCGCGTTCTAAGTAAATGCATTGCTACATTATAATTTTATGACTGCATCGTTAGTGCACGCTACCTAATAAAACCTATATTTTATAGTTTCTGATTAAATATTCAAACAGAATTAATCACCTGAAAAACAATCGCCACAATGTCGTTCCCAACATGTCTCTTCCTCTGCAACTGCTGCGCGTCGCCCGCCGTGTGCGGGAGCAGCGGCGCCACGTGGAACATGATCTCGCGGTCGTGGAACCGCTCGTACACCGCCTCAGTTCCCGTGTGGCCGTTTATTATGTCCAAACCACCTCTATATCCTGGCGGTTATAAAACAAATGTTTTATAAGTAAAAGGCTGTTTATATTCGAGAGACTATTATTTTGCCATATATTGGGAATTTTAGAAAAATATGCAGGACATACGGACGTACACTGTACAATTGGAGTATATTTATGTATTAAGCATTTAATGTTTGTTTCTTAGAGATATAGTAACAAATTGTCGACTTAAAAGTAGACTGTACAGTTTAACTAAGTAGGTAGGTATTCATGAATTGAACAAAAGAAAATCTATTTAAAATTGTGCAGAAAATGTCTTACCTCTATGATCCCTCAGCTGGATCTTCTGACCGAGCATTTCTAAGAATTCGTCAAATGCTGGAGACGTTTCGTTGTTTCCAAATAATTCTTCTTCAGTAGTCTGTCCGTACTTTTGATAGAGTACGCCGAATTTGAATGTATTAACCAATACATGCTCATCGTAAGCCACGATCAATGAAGACGCGTTCAAACACATGACTGCCATGAAGTTGTCCACGTTCACTTGGTCGCTCAAGGTCTTAGCCATCCTAGATGGTGACGGCATTATGCCTGAACCTGTAAAGCAAAATAGTGAGTCATATATTTTGTAAAATATTGCGAATTCAATTTTAGACAGTTAATTTATAGCTATGACATAAATTGGATTTAATGAAATTAACTTTCAAATATAATGCTAAAAGCCATATTCTGTCTTGCTCATTTCAGGATGGCATCTTCATAGTGGTCACAAATAACTGTATGTTGTTATAAATATATATTATATAAGAGGAAAGCTACATTGAGTCATTAAATGTCTTTATCATATAAAATCTAAGGAGATATAACGAAAGCGATTTCAACTACTGAGTTTATAGTTTTAGATTCTCTTGAGATATGAAATGGCAACATAGATCGTAAAACGTTTTGCACATTATTTTATATTGTCCATATAGTTTTTATTTCTTTTAGTTCATAACATTATATATATACCTAATGTAATTTAATTTTTATGTAGATATAACTTATAAAAAAAATCTTAAAACTTTAATACTGTGTCAAAAATAATATTTTTGACGAAAATACAATTTTTTGTACTAAATGACTAAAAAGCCTTACTTGGTGTAGAAATCAGTGCGCTCATAGTCTCTGTTCGTAGCCTCAAGAGTATTCTGGTGTGGTCCTGGCCAGCCACGTTTTCGTTCATTATCGACATCACCACGGGGTCCTGGTTCGCATCAGTTCCAACCAAATTAATATGTTCCTGCAGAAACGATAAATAAGCTACATTACAAAATTGACTTATTACAAAGACATTATTATAGTTTTATGGGTACTGTGGGTTATTATGGGTGGTTAAGGTTCTTCAAATGACTGTTATAGGTACTTAGTTTCTGTAGGAACTGTTCTTAAGCAATAAAGTACATTTGAGGATGACATTTATATATTTGTAGGTTATGTTAGAAGTATTCAGCCTTTTTATTTTAAAGTCCCACTGCTGGGCACGGGCCTCCCTTCAGTACGAGGGGAATCAGGTCATAGTCCACCACGCTGGCCAAGTGCGGGTTGGCGGACTTCACATGTCTTTTGAAAACTTGCTAGGTTCTCTCAGACATGCAGGTTTCCTCACGATGTTTTCCTTCACCGTTCAGATAAGTGGTAATCATGTTGGAAATGATTGGCACATGAAATTATCAGAGGTGCGAGACTCTGGATTTGAACTCGCTTCACTCGGTTTCCCAAGCGGACGCGTTACCACTGGGATACCACTGCTTTTTTTATGTTAGAAGGCATTTTGTTATTCAACTGTTGAATAAACGCAGTAGTTAAGAAGTTGCACCAAAAAAAAATTGAATTTGCCCATGGACTTGTAAGTACCATGATTAGAACTAAATAAAATTATTGAGAAATTTTTTTTTGTACTGGAAATCAAGATAATCAATATTTTTGTCCCTATAACTATAACTATATTAGAGTCTATTTATTTCTTGTTGTAACGTAAAAGGCAGACAAAGCTAATTTTTTGTGAAATGTTTCCACTGCAATATGTTTCTAAACTAAAATTATAAGTACTATATACATTTATATCACGTTAGGTATTTTTTATTGTTCGCCATTTTCATCACTTGTTACCTCAGTAACACAAAACTAGCGTGGTGTGATCCGCTCTAGTGTCACCGCACGCGAGCCTTTGTCATCAAGTGTTCTAGTTCCTCGCTTGAACTCTTTAATTATGACGATACAATAAAATTGTCACTGAATAACACGTGTCGGTGTTGTAATACCTGTTCAGAGTTTTTTATTTAAAAATTACATTGCCAGGATAATAATCTTAAAAATCATTTATCCTAAGTATTTAAATAAATACTATATACAATTATTGTATGAACCATTCAATCAGTGGCAATGTCTATTTGCATACTTTAATTTATAAAAGAGGTTTTCTGTGAAATAGAACATACATATAAAGTAGAAACTATACGAAAATTTAATTACCTACTTACTACCCATAAGATGATTTAAAATATTAACTTTAAGATAAAATCTTATTATCTTGAAAAAATTATAAACAAAGAGACTCCTCGAAATAATGATTTTAAACAGAAATTATGGCTTATTCATTTATCGCACTTAGAAAAGACATAAGAGTAATAGCTAAAATATAGTTTATCTTTCTCGATTCAATCTAATATACGTAAATATTTTTTATTCATGGAGTGAAACATATTTCACAAAACGCAGATTTAGACCATATCCCAGTAAAAAAAGGATGACATCAACAACCGCAATACCACGGTAATATAAAATATTACCGTGGCAATACTGCAGGCAGTATCTTGTTACCAAAAAAAAAAACAATAAGTGTTTGTGTAGAAAATGGCGTCAAACTACAGAAAAACAAAATACATCCATACTATAATATTATAAATGTGAAATCGTTTGTTTCTTTGTTTGTTCTTCTTTCATGTTAAAACGGATAAACGGCGTAATTTTTGGTGTGGAGAGTGGCATAGGCTACTTTTTACCGCGGGAGATGATCTCCTTCCCACGGGAAAACACGTTATAATACAACCCAAAAAATTATTTATGATCAGAATCACTTGAAACTTGGTATTGGTACTCTTCAATATAATTAAATAAATACGTGTTTTAGCTTTTTTCTAAATTCATTCCATAAGGGGATAAAATAGGGGATGAAAGTTTGTATGAAATCTACCTTTTTAGAGTTTTTTTATATTATAGTCTTAGCGCGAGTGAAGTCGCAGGTTCTGCTAGTAAGCTTATAAAACACTGTACCTGCGTGTACAAGTATGTTTGTCTAAATTATTAATAACATTTATCCAAGTCGCTAATTAGTAACTAATATCTTCTACATAGTTCTCAGAACTAATTTATCAAAAGTTTCATATTTCTGAAAGCGGAATTAAACAGGAAAACGTGGACTAATTACGAATGAAAAGCCAATATTTACCAACTATACCGTAATATCTGTCACACCCAACGCTTCAAATCAACTCGGTATATGAATAGGAATACGGTTTATGGCAACAAAGGTAATGAAAGATAATGGATATTTCGGTAATGCGTATTTTATGTCAGATAGTCTATTCGATATTTTTATCACTATTTAATAGTCATTAGCAAAGGTCGAATCGTTAAAGTTAATAAGACCTAACCCAATAGCTTACGTAAGCATTTTAATTTATCGGTGTACTGTAACATTATTGATTTCTATTTTGTACTAAATTAATCGAAAAAAAAGTGTTATAGGAGTTAAAAAAAAGTTTTACCAAAAAATGTACATGATTTCAGAATAACTTTAAAAAAGTAATTACTCCATCTTGTGAAGGGGATTTTTTTTTATTGAGACCTATGTAGGACCACCCTATTTACGAAACATCAATAAAATATTATATTCAAAACTGGCGAAGATATTGCGTGACATAAAAATTTTAAAAAGATCTGAATTTAAACTTCCTCCATCTTAAGTCGGTTCAAAATTACGTATTTATAAGAAAAAAATATATAAGGTTTTATAATCAAGTTCTAAATATAGCTCTAAATAATATATATATATATATATATATATATATATAAATATATATATAGATAAGTTTAGTAGTAATAGCAGTAGCTTGTTACCTCAATGTCTCATACTTCTTCCCATCTTCATTGATATCATTGAAAAATCTCGAGCCACGTTTAGTATGACTAGTGACTAAGCAATAGTAAAGTGAATCAGATGTTTTATTCGAACGAGTGATCTCATGAGTTTGATGAAGTCTTACTAAATACAGGCAATAATGCTAACCTAGTTACCTACTGTAATATATTCTTGTTATATAAAGTAAAATGAGATCAATTGCCTATTTGTCGCGAACTATATTAGTAATGTACCTAGGTGTGGAAAATTATAAACAAATGCAAGTCAGAATCGTACACGATGGGTTTTTACCATCGTACAAGATATAACACTATGTACTTTTTAAATATTTTTATAAAAGAAACAAGAATCGACACTCTGTGAAAATTTCATCTCTCTACCTATTACGGTTCATGAGACACAGACGCTGGCAGACCGACGGGCGGACAGACGGACTGACAGCGGACGCTTAGTAATAGGGTAAAAGTAAATCTGTTTATTATCTTTTGTCATTAACAATAATTTATACGCAAACAAGTTGAACAGATTTTGTTTTTTGATAACGATAGACTGCATCATGGCCGTAAGTTGCTTCCCATGCCAGCTTATAATCTCTAGAAGTACCAGTCAGATAAAAAAATCTTTTTACATTTTATATATATAAAGCCTTTTTGTTGGCTATTGTAGAAATTTAATAGTTTATTTAACATCACGCTACTCTAAGCGGAGGTCATATAATTAATATAAACTACGCGAAACGAGACTCGTACAAAACACAGTTTTGTAACATTTTATAAAAAAACTAGCATTGCCCGCGGCTCCGCCCGCGTTCAGGTGACCTAAAAACCAAATTCTTAGGTTTTACATATTGATATACTCTTACACTGCAGTTTTTGTATTTTTTTCTCGGAAATGAGATATTTTCCCGCGGTAAAAAGTATCCTATATGTTGACCCGGATAACCAGCTATCACCATACCAAATTTCATCAAAATCCCTCCAGTGGTTTTTCTGTGATGCAGTAACAGACAGACAGACAGACAGACAAAAATTCTAAAAACTATAGATTCGGCCTCTGTATCGATAATAATGTTTATTTCAATAAGATTTTCCAAAAAATATTCAATATACAGATTCGACTCAGAATTTCATTATATGTAACTTAATAAAACAATTTATTGCTTAATGTTTTTTAAATTACAAATTGCGGAACCTTGTGTCATATGTTTTGTAAATATTTATCTAGGAAGTCTTGTTCCCACAAAATTAATTAAGTTAATCGTGAGTTAATCTTTTATAAGTCGAGTGACATTCAGTAATGCGGACAAGGTTTATGTATACCATTCCAATTGTTGCCAATTCTTGGGTGTTTTTGAGGTCATTTGAGGGTTAATTGATAATCCATCCTTAGACAATAAAATGTAATTACCATGGGACTATCGTGGTGCTATTTAATTAGTTTCGTACATTGTTACGTCCACTTTGCAATAAAAGTCACTTTTTATGTAATCGTATAATACAAGGCCACTCATTGTTTTTATACATGTGACAAATGCGATGGGTCAAACTTTAAAAATTAATTCTATGGTAGCTTAAGGCACGCCTTCTTAATTTATTTCACGCATTTAGGTATAAAAATAAACAAAATATATTTAGCAAATAACTCTTATATTTTTAAGTAAAAAACTTAAATTTAAAAGACAAAAATCTTAAAGGTACAATAATAATTTACGCACTCCATTTACGGTTGTATGGAAATTTATGAGGTTATTATTTTAATTATTATTAATATAACTAATAACAATTTCAATAATTAGGTAACTTAATAAAGACATTAATATGCTAATCACGTTCTAATAATAATTATTATTAATGAGTAATGACGATGGTGATGATTTATATGAAAAAGTTACTAATGACATTTGGATGTTTGTTAGTCAACACACCAGAACGGCTGAACGGATTTGGATGAAATTTGGCACAGAGATAGGTGTTTTTTACACTTAGAAGACGATTTCAACCTTGTTTGTAATTTTTTAATATTTTGTTAATGAATATAAAATATTTTTATTTATTTTTATCTTTTTATCCCGGAAAAATACGATAAAAGTACGGTGCCCGTGGTGATTTGTTTTTATTTTTCACGCATAAATCATTGAGCGGAGTGGGTATTTGCTATCTTCTTTTATCCAGAGGTATAACAATATTCTTTTAATGAGAATTTTAACTTTAGTTCAGAACTTATCAGTAGATGGCAATGTTAAAGGAAAGAAAGAAAACTCTTTACGCCGATGAACTGAAAATGCTCGTAATAACAATAGTATTAGAAAAATGATTGCAGGTTTTTAATTCTTGCTAGGTTCCTACAGATCAGAGATATGTGATTGACTGAAGTAACTTGTCTCGCGCCAAGTGTACACTATTTTTTTTTATTTCTTCGATTTAAAAAACCATTACTGCGCAAGTCTATTTTAATCAAGTAAACCTTTATTTTATATTTTACTTCTACAGGAACCTTAAATGTTTAAGTAACCGCGGATTCATTATTCAAAATTATGAAGAAGTGGCTATTAATTAAAACATTCAGCAATTTGTTTCAAGGATAACTAATTAAAGCTATAAATTTATGACAATCCACCACACCTTATTATCCGAAGTGAATTTTTGCTACAAATTCGTATTCCACTGGGACTTCTTGATACACTGATATAAAACGTATCCTATCCGCTAATCATGATGCGAAGGTTTATATATATATATATATATATATATATATATATATATATATATATATATATATATAAAGATATATATATATATATATAAATTTGTTAATCGTTTAATGTTATATAAAATAATAAACATCTTCAATATGTTTAATACAAAATAAAACCTTCGTGACAACACTGTGATGAATGCCCCACTATCCAAGACCATGAAACCAAACATTATCATCAAGGCTACGTCGTTAAAATCTTTCCAAGTCATCTCACTCCTGAATTTTCTGAATTTATCACTTGCCTTTTTCATCGCTTCAAAGACGCAAATTGAAAGCTAAAGACGGTAATTGAAGGGACGAGGGGTTAATGCCCCTTTTTGAACCCGCTGATGGATTATGTCATTGAAACGGAATGTTACATTACGGACTTTTTTCATCTTCAGTGATTGGAAATAATACTATTGATATGCCCAAATTTCTCAGGAAAATTAAGTACCAAATGGCCAAAATATCTTCATTGTACTCTTTTACTTAACATAATACGTTTCCAAGTAATATTATTTACAGAAACTCATCAAAAGTTATGTAATTAGTATTCAGAGTTTGCTGTATGAACATTTGTTGCTTTTTAATGAGCCCTAAGAAGCCAAGTTACTTTAACATTCTATCCAATTAGATTTAAATTTTAAAGTACATAAATCTAACACAAGTAGATAGACTTATTTCTTGTTTCATTAATCATTTTAATTTGAAAAATAGAGAATTATTAATACTATTGTCATTATTGTGTATTATGTTACTAGTTATGTTATTAACAATATAGTATAAGCATCAAAAAAAAATGCGCAAGTTGATGAAACTTTAGCACCTGTTCAGTATGAGAGAATCTTTTTCAAGTCTCAAGACATTTTCTTATCTATCTAATGCAGATTTATTCAATCGAACTGGTGGAACGGCAATCATTTCTGAGCCTTTTCCCTTCTCCCTAACGAATTGTTCTCGAACCAATTTCGCGTTATGAAAAGGCGCATTTGCTCATTGCCCTCACTTTTCTTTTGTCATTTAGGAACATCTGTCTTCGTCACCAATTTATATGATTTCACTAAATTCATATTCTTCTTGACGTCCTAAATTCAGTATTTTGGATAAATGTAGTACAACGAATAAGAAATATGATATATATTAGAACATCTAGACATCTCTTTAGCCTCAGAAAATATCACACAGAAACCTGTATAAATAATAAATAAATATGTTAAGACATTAACACACAGAACCATCCAGTTCCATAGTAAGCTACGAGGCTTGAGTTATGGATACCAGATAGTTGATACACTACACATATATAACTTTAAATACACATGACTGGAGTACAAACATTCGTGCTCATCACACAAACATATGCCCCCAACGGGACTCGAATCCGCGACATCTGGCATGGCAGGTAGGGTAACTACAAACTGAGCGTGTCGTATGTATGTCTAGAAGATTCTATTAGTTTTCGAGAAACCAACTCGTATTTGATGAACGTAGTTAAATAACCCAAGCTTTGATGGGAGGTCTGTGCCCAGCCGTGGGACGACAAAAAATAGTCCAAATTATTGATTATTTTAATTACGCTGTCAGCTATATATAACATTTTCTATAAGAACATTAATATAAAATATTATGTAAAACCTTTTTTTTTTAACTGCTGACACGATGCGGTTAAACTTGTCAGTTTGATTAATGAAAGATTTGAAGCCTTGCACAGGATCACCTGTCGTTAACCGTGATGTCCCATAAGTTATTTACGTATCAAGCCTTACCTATCAGACCAGGATTTGCAGCGCATTCATCTAGCCTAACCCTTGCGGTGTCACAATGACCCATCAAACTATACGTTATCAGGATACTCGTAATATTTTATGTTACCGATGATAGCATTCATCCGGTTACATTTTTATAGGCTTATGAATATCATATACATAATGCTTTTAAAAATATTATATTAGAAGTGTTACTGACCTATAAGCTTTGCAATATTCAAAATAACATGTTCTCTATTTGCCGCATTATGTAAATTACTAGCGACTCACCCTCGCTTCCCCCGAGTTCGTCCATATACAAACTTTCATCCCCATTTTCCCAACTTTAAGGGATGACTTCCGGGATAAAAACTATCCTTTGTCCTTCCCAGGGCCTCAAACTATCTTTGTACCAAATTTCACATAAATTGGTCTAGTAGTTTCGGAGCTTATTCGGTACAAACAAACATACAAAAAAAATCTTTCCTCTTTATAATATTAGTATAGATACATTTATAAATAAAAACAGTGGTAAATATCGAATAGTATCTTAGTAGCATGTCTGTGGTTATCTCAGGGTATTACATGTACATGCGTCCTGAGTCCTAACGCTATAATCGGTCCGATCTACATGGAACTTGGCTCAGTGAGCGTGAAGTAAGACCGTTCCGCGTAGCTGGCTCCAGACGACTTTTCTCACCGTCACTGGTGATTTTTGAAATGAGTATACCCCTTAAAATACGCATCGTTGCTTGTGATTTTAATGTGGAAAGTTAGAAGTTTTTTAATGTTTCGAGTTAATTAGGATTTAATTATTATTTATTATAAAATATAACTATCCTAAAATTCTGAAAGTTTTATATCGCTATTTCTTTTCATTTTAACACATTGGTAGCGTTGTTTCATTTTATATACCAATGCAGGCTTAAAATATTACTATAACTGTATATATATGTAGGTATCTATAGCCTCGTAAATAATTCATAAAAATATTTTTTATAGAAAAAGTAAGTAAATAAACTTTATAATAAAAACAAATCATAAATTACAATCTTAATATCACATATCAAACCAGGCCATTATGAAGATACATGAAGACACGAAAAAGAAGAAAAAGCCGGCCTAGTGCGTGGGTATGGGAAAGTTCACACGTGCTGGTAACTGTACGGTGTCAAACATAGTCGAGTTAGGCTAATAGTAGCACAGCTTAAAATAATATACCAAAATACATAATACAACAGTTTGTAATAGCTTTTAGGATTCTGCAGCTTGAAGGTGAAAATTGAATCGTTTTGTCATATCTGTCTGTCGGTATGTCACAGCCATTTTAGGTAAAGCCTTTAACGAAAATTAATTTTTGTACAGTACATCCAGTTTTTGGGATGTCCGATATTTTATTAGAAGCTTTTGTGAGATCACAGACCGCAATATTAACTTTGTTTTTCATAGTATTTTTACGAAATATAATGAAATGTGTAAATATTTTAATTTAGTTTTAACCTAACAAATTACATAAGCAAAGTAAAATTTTTAGAATTCGCAGTACGAAACCATATGTAGATACTTTTATATAAAAACATGATGTCTACGAGTATAATTAAAGTATGGAAATCAATTTCTGTATTACTCGACATATAAAGCAGGTATTTAAATGGACTTGTTTTTAATATATACCTTAAATTATTTTTTCTCGATAGTAATCCTATAAGAAATTTCAACAGAATTTAACGGAAGGCGTGAGTAAACGTTATCTTGGTAAATAATTGCAGTAAGGAACCGCATTGATTTATTGGCTCGTATGAGGTCTTCCGGAAGGCCTGTACATAAAAGGGCAACGACACTGACGTGACAGGCGCATGTCCACGTTACGCGATGTCAAGGAGAGCGTGATCAAGTGGTAAAGTCTGGTTTTAATTTTTATTAATGTTTAAATATGGCTGAAATGTTCCGCAAAGGAACGTCCCAGTTGGCAACAAAAACAGCTCCATTGTACTCCGGTCAGACGGCGCGGCGCGCAAAATGTCAAGGCAGATGGCTTGCGTAATCGCTGTTATCTTTTTGCATTATTTGGTACTCGGGTACTCGAAGAAAGCGTTAGTCACGACATAATTAAATCGTGATTTCATTCAAAATCGATTTATCGATGTCATAATACTTAATAAAATATTAGCTTTCGTGTTTTTCCCACATAATATTAAATAGATTGAAGATATATACTGAGTAAAGAGGAAGGAATTTGAAATTCAATGGCGCTCTTGGACGGTGCTACTTGAATCGGATTTTCTACACGCTTTATATACGGCCCCACGTAACGACGGTGGCACTAAGATGCTGATACCTAAGCCTTTTCAATGTTATATCCTAGAGCAAAACCTAAAAATTTATTCACTTATATACTACAAATTTTCATGGTTGTGCATTCGATAGAAACTGAAGTAAATATATGTATTAATAAGTTCAAGGTTCTTACCTTGCCTAGGAAATACCGCCTGTAGTATTTGGCGGTGTCGTTTGTATCAATATTGTGTCTTCGAGAAGTTTGACGAGGGGTTCCCGGTTGAGGTCTGGGTTCATTTTCCTCATCGGAACTGTTCTCCTCCACTCCATCCACCCAGTAACCACCGTTCGGGGGTAGAACGATTGTTGGGGGTGTTCCTGAAAAGATATCACATAAGATCGAACATTTTTAAACCTATTAAAGATATATTGTAATATTATTTATAAAGTTTATTTCTTATTTTATATCTAAAGAAAACATCAGTAATAAAATTAAATAATGCAAAGAGAAAGTAATTCAATAAAATAAATATAATATAATAAATATAATATAATAAAATAAATATAATAGTAATTCAATAAAATAAATATAATTCAATAAAATAAATTTCGCAAATAAAAATGATTGCTACTTCCATTGTAAGTAACGTGCCGAGAACAAATATTACATTTTCCGTGCATGTTAGCAGAATCTGTGTCACGAGTGCAAATAAATTTGACTTATAAAATATTCTTCGCACGTTTGATGCTGGTTCGAAAAAACGAATAGATGAAGGGTTCCAAGCCATAAAACCGCATAGAGTAAGGCACGATTCTAGTCTAGACCGCCTTTGTTGGAAATATTTTTACAAGGCTTTCAATAGTACAACGTCCCACGGGATACCATTGTTCCTGATGTCCCCTATATAAACCGATCCGCCCGTCAGTTTCTACATAGAAACTTTCGCATTATGATAAGTTTTCATAAAACCTTAAAGTTTGGAGAACCACACGATAAAAATTTAATATGATGTAGCATAAAATCTAAAAGTTTTTCTTTTATTATTTTAATACTTTGTATAGATATTTTTGTTTGAAAAACTTTTTACGTTTCTTGTAGAAAATATTAGTACTTCCAAGTCCCAATAAATTATGGCGAAAGCTCATAAGTAATTTCGTGATCAATACCAACAAAAAACCGTGACTATGCTAATATAAGGAAGGGTGGAGTACTTGCGCTTTTTTATATATAGTTCTTCGAAAAATCAACAGAATATAGTAACCCTAGCATGTCAACGAGCCCTACACGGCTTCCCTTCCGCTATTGCTGTCTCTACAAAACCATGATGAATCATATTTACCATTCTTTTATTGCAATTGAAAGATATTTTAGAATGTTCATATTTTCGTGTGAATTTATTACGTGCGTACAGATACAAAATAACTGAAAAAAGCACGTATAATTTATATGTAATAAGGGAATTAAGAGATCAGTACGTTTTAAAAACTCAATTGTTCATATAAAAACATTTCGTTTGAGGTATTTAGAGAAAAAGTTTGAAATCAAAAATTCCATTCCATCAAAGGTCAATAATTAACACAATTTTAAACATTATTACTATATTTTTTTAAATTCTATAGTCTATATACCACTACACAACACTAATTACACACACTAACACTAACACTAACACTTATGTACGCACTACGTCCGATAAAAAATGTAATGTCCTTCATCTGTGAATGTAAATATTATAAAAAGAACCGTACAAATAAAGCAGTCACGACCCAACTCAGACCTCACGACCTCTATCACACAAATTTCACAGGCCGTAAACAATCTACTATAACAAAATAAAGGTGTAAGAGTAATAAATAAACGATATAAACATATACTGGTGCAACGTCGAAAATAACATTAAATAACATAAATAATTGAACATGCTACTCTAATTTTAAGCTTTCTACGAACAAAGTTATTTATCTTTATATTTATTTTATCTACAACGTATTAAATTATATAAGCTTCATTAGAATATTAATATTCTAGTTTTGTTAAGACATCAGAATTACGAGTCAAGATTTCCCAAGATAACTCGCAGCCACCTAATTTAATTAACACTTTAATCAACTAACAGTGACAGATATTTTTGCTCGCGAATAGCAAGTTACAGTACTGTGTAAGTTCTGAAATAGCAGGAATATCTTGGTTTTTTTTTCAACATAAATGAAGTCCAATGGGACTTAAATGTAATGCATATATAAATAGTAGCGCACTCTTCTTCTAGGTAATCATCTGGTGTTCTTAGATATCTTAAACAATCTTAAAATATAAGAAAATTGAAATATCCATCGTGTTTATACTTAAATTATTTAAAAAATATCTTTCGGAGTGTGTAGCGTGTTGTAATCGAGGCCAAATCAAGTGTATTAAGAAAGTTTTCTCTGTCTTTACATTTGTTTGGTTTTTGAGAAGTTAACTAAAAGTTAACTTACAAGAAAAACTGGTTTAATTTCACTATAGAATTGTAACAATAATACCAGCTGCATTGCCCTTTGATCTTGGCAAAAATCAAGCCAGCCTTATGTCACGATAAGAGCCTCCTCTTTATATACTTTATGTTTGTAAAGAATTTTTAGCTCTTTAACTCGACGATATCAATGGATAATTTTGACTAGGATATCAAGGCTCTTTCTGACATGCACTAACTAGCATATTGGCACATTAGACTGTGCCAATATGTTAGCGTATTGTACACTGCAATAATATGATATTATCGCCTTTCTCGTAAAACCAGCACCAATTCATCAAGTTTCTGGTCAACGTCTTGACTTGTTCCAGATAACTCAATAAGAGCAAGAATATCAACGGTAAGCTCTTTTAATGGTGTCATTTAAAGTATTATGGCAAAGTCAAAGACGTTCGATGGAGTTTATAAGGGTAAAGGTCTTACGGAAACTATCATTATACATAAGTAACGCGATCTTATGCTCTGTCTTAAAAACATAACTAAGTAATTTTATTTTGCCGAGTAAAGCTAAAAAACATCTTATCAAAAAAACTGCACCATGTTCTACCTGTTACGATATTAATCGAGGGTCAAATGAAGCAATAAACGAAGAGAGGCATATTAGTTAATTAATTCACGCTAAAAGTCGTACGTTTCTTTCTCCCAATAGATTAATATTTACAACGGCTATAGAGATATTCATTTCGGTTTGAGCGTTACGCGAAAGCGCAACGTTGGGGAAGATCTAACACTGCTGTTGCAAGCTGAATACTTTCACACCTTGTTCTCATAATTTAACTTTCTATTTATAAATAGTTAATATTGAAAGTTATTTTATAGTTTAACAAAAAAAAATATTAAGGACTTAAATATATAATCAAATACATATTAATATATTCAAAATGTTTATCATAATGTGTGTTACATACTTTATTTAACAACTCGCGACGGACGCTCCAGCAGGTTGTCATAAATTTTACTTAAAAATAATATTTCTAGGCTTTAAAATTGTAAAGCTGACTTCAAAAAATGCCTTTGATTTATGTTGTCTTGTTATTTTTAACTCATATTTCGACTACGTTAGAATATAAATATATAATACTATAATTATATAAACATCACTGATAGCCTGCTATCATAATTGATAAATTCGAATCGCATATGTACATATATTTTAACAAAATGCTGCAGTAGTTTCACAAATACTTGACCTTTTAACAGTACTTATAGTCGTGGGTTAGTTTTAGGTATTTTATTTCAATTGCGAGGCAGATCACGAATTCGCTTTATCAAATTTTATTCATCGCAAACACGGTTGAAACATAAAATATTTGGTATCGTGACGTTAACGACTTTTTTATATATCAAGCTGACATTATGAAATAATGAAAAGCTCTTAATTAATTATTAATTTATTATCGTAAATGCACAATATTTGAACTTAAAAGCGCAAGTTAAAACCGAAACTTCAGGAAATAGAGTACCTATTAAGTATTCCAAAAATATATTATATACTTACGCGTAATTTAAATCCGAATTTAGTTTTATTCACATATATTTATCTTATAACTTTAGAATTGAAACTTAGCTGCCGTAACCTTAAATAATTACATATTTAAAACTGTATAAAATATAAGATAGACTACTAACTTGATAATTAAGCAGAACGGTATTTATTAAACAATTCGGAAATAAGAGCGCTTCTAGCATGGTCGGTCAAGCTCGAAAGCTACCAAAGTGCAAATCTCAAGCATTCTCTTTACCTGGCTTAGCTAGTGTTTCCTCGAGAAGTATTCTGCTGGCTTGACAAGCGGCTGCCACCCGTCGTTGCGCGGCCGCCGCACCCGGCGAGGGCGGGAGGCCGTGAGGCGCCGGCACTCTGCCTTCTGCATACGAATTCCTTTCGCCCACATTGCCTGTTGTCGCTCCTACTGACACTGACCGACGGTTATCGGGTCGTGAAACCTGAAATGAAAATATATTTTGTACTATCATTTAATTACGAGATAATTAGGATTTTATCATAGTACTGATTTTGTTTCTACTTTAAACCTAGCTAGGAACCAACTTGTACTATATCTATAATTTCTTTTAATAATTACCATTTAAATACATAAAATAATAAGTTTATCTTTTAGTTCAACGTAGTTTCTAAACTTTCATTGTTCGTTAATATTTTACAGAATGCATGCAATCCCGTTTAATTCGAGATCAAAGATTACTTTTTTATTTATAACTGAAATTTTTAAACTGTATAATGGTTTGGAAGATGAGGAAATTGTTAATTTTATATACGGTTGGCGGCTCAAGTCAGCGTGACATAAGTAGTTCGATGACCCAACACCGTGAGATCCTATTATTGTGGTAACTGTATCAGCGCGTGCAAATCGCTACTTGTACTTATTTACAGCAATTTGTAAACGCGTTTAACATTTTGAGGCCACAAACATATTAAATTTTGATCTATTCTTTTACTTGTGAGAACCTCTAAAAATTTTAACGCTTGACTTGTGGTGGTAATGAAGAGAACGTGTCCCTTTTACGATGTCAATCGGAAAACAGACAGCCCCATAAACCATGGCGGCCTATAAACACCATCAAAAGTTTAGTATTGAAACCGGCGGAAGCATTAGTCGAAGCGTTGACAGCAACTCGAAACAAGTACCGTGGAAAATGTTAGAGGATTTTCACTTTGATCAAATTAATCTTACGTCAGCAACTAAATGTTTACTTCTCTAGAGACCGCTGAAATTTAATATATAAATGTTCCCTTAGATAAATTAAAATATATTTTAGTTTCATTAAGGAAAATATAAAGAAAAACTATGATTCAAAATATTATTAACATTTTATGTACGTTTTAAAATTTATAATCTAATATGTACAATATAACGTTTATGATTATTGAATAAGTTTTGTTTTAGGAACTTTGAAAATATAATGAAATAATTTATTAGGGGCGTCATTCTCAATGATCATCGTTAAACAAGAAATAGGACAGACGCGTCGCGGTCGGGCAACGTAATTTCATATCAGAATGCTTTGATGCACGGAAGTTTAAACTTTCTTAAAATACCGTTCTATGTTAACCGCTGTTTTCCCTTAAAATCTATATTTTTTGTTCCATATCAAGAATACTTAGTACTGTGACATTTTTGATGAGATTATCCAAATTAATCCTATAATGTAAGTGAAATATTATACGTAATAAATTAAAGTTATTCTGCCTATCTGTCTGCTGCCTTTTCAGGCTTAAACCGCTGAAAAGATTTTCATGAAATTTAGCAAGGACATAAATGGCATCTTGGGCCACACATGGGCAACGTTTAACCCCAGCCCGGTTACCGCGCAAGCGAAACCGCGGGCAAAACTAGCAGTATAGCTATAACTAGAAGAGATCAACTATTCATCAATATTATAATTGTGTTTGATGCGTAATTTACTTGGCTTCTGAGCAAACCAAGGATAGATCACTTGTAACTTACTACTTACAATTTGACACCTTCAGCAATAACATTCATAATTATGAATCGCTATACAAGCAATGTAATTTTTCGTATTATATTTCAGTATTTCAAAGGTTTCCCGACCGGCATTTACAACACTAATACTTATTACACCTGTTATTGATATACATATTAAGTAACGCTCGATAGAGTTTATATTTAATATCGAAACGATTATTCGTAAGACTTCATAAATATCGCGACGCCAAAAAATACCTAAAGGTCTCAGGTATATATATATATATATACTTGCAGACGCTTAGTTTGGTCATAGATTTATCGTATAACTAGCGACTCAACCTCGCTTCGCTCGGGTTCGCCCCTAGGTGATTCTTTAAATAGTCATAACTTTTTATTTATGAACCGACTGAAATAAAACAATAATATACTAAATACTAAGTGCAAATCGGACCCAAATCAGTTAAGCCGTTTCTGAGATTAGCGCACACAAACGCACAGACAAAAATTCTAAAAATCATTGTTTTGGGTTCTATTGCGTTAATAAAACCCCGAATATCTATCTCAAAATATGTCAAATATGTATTTCTCAAATATCTTTCATGTACAGACAGCGATCAGTTTTATTATATATATATATATATATATATATATATATATATTTTATTATTATTCTATTCTATATATATATATATATATATATATATATATATATATATATATATATATATATATATATATATATATGTATAGAATAGAATAATAATAAAAACTTATGCCATACTACAGAATCTAATATACATCATCATTAATTCTCCACGCCCACTTACTTAGAAACTAACGGAATAAAACAACCCTTCGATTTAATGGCATGTTACTGGCAGCGTAATTAATGATAGCAATACGAATTGAACGGTATGTATTTACGTATAAGCCATCTATCTACTCGACTCATTAAAAGTTAGAGACATTTTTTTTACCACTTTCCCTTAGCCGCAAACGTTTTTTAATTATTATTAATATGATTACTCTTAACTCTAGTTTCCTCTAATGATGGAGGGTAAGGTATGATTATTTAATACCTATGTAGTATGTACTATTATGAAAATAAATAGATTTTTGCCATTTTAATGAAAATAAGGGATTTTTTAAACGATATTGCACAGTAGCAGCATGTCATGTTTGCATCATGATATGATGACACTAATGCATTGGTCATATGTTTGTTTGATGAGAAACAGCTAGGTATATGTACGAAAAAAATAAGTGCGTGTAATCTTCACGCGCGGTTGAAGTAAAACTTCTTTGGTGCTGTGGCAGATACCGCAATTAAATTAAAAGTTTCGAATCAAAATATAAATATAATATTTTTTATAAAATTATTAATAATAAATATTCATTTTCAAAAAAAATATTTATTGTTAATCATTTTATAATAATTATTACATATAATACGTATAAATTTTTTTATAAAATTATCTATATAAGTAAAAATGAATCACCGAAATGTATGTAAGCGCAGAACTTCCGATCAACTGCAACAAATTAGATTATTCTTTTTTTGTGTTTGTTATTGTCAGGACAAGCTTTGTATAGAAAAAATTAGAAGAATAGAAGAAAATGAAAAGAATTTTTATTTTTCTTTTTTTAATAAAATAAGATTTTTTTTAAATCTCATAATAGGTATGAAAAGTGAGTGAGTTAAATAGTTTTTAACTCAGAAGTCATCCCTTAAGGGGGTGATAATGGTGATGGAGGTTTGTATAGGAAAGCAAGATAGGGAAGAACCCGAGCGAACCAAGGGGGAGGCGTGAGTTAGTAATAAATATTCATTTTTATGTCAATCTTATATAATTACTTAATTAATGCAAATAAAGGCAAAGGAGGATGCATGCTGAACAAAATATTTAACATTTCATTAATCAAAACTTGTTAGTCACACATTTGTCTATAAATATAAATGGTAAATATGTATTTTAAATACGAAATTTCATATGACTTAAGATTTTTACTAAACAGAGATTGCAACTACTTACGCTAATGTATTTTTTTATGTGAGAACAAACCTCTGTGTTACAACATCACTGTGGGAACGATTTGTTATTATAATTATTAATTTTATCCATTTGTGATAAAATAAGAAAATTTCATTTTAATAATATTATATAAAAAAAGTTGAATTACAACGTTAATTTTAATAGGCATTCACTTTGCTTTTGTATATATTAATTGTAGGAAATGTTTGAAACGAGAACACATCGTTCTATAAAAAGACCTAACAATTTTTATATTATAATATACGAGTAGGCAGTATTTGCATTACTAAAAAACAAAATATAAGTAGATATCCATATTTTTTTGGTGTTAAGCATAAATATCAGGTATTTTATTCAGGAATAAACATAATAAATATCGCATTTCCCCTGAGGTTAATCTAAGTTGAAATTAGATGTCACTTGCTTCTGAAAGCTGAAACCGCACCGTCTCTAGATTTGCCGTATTCACATAGAAATTTAATAATATTGTCCTGTTCATATGCACTAATATTATTATGTACCGAATTAAAACAAACACATAACCCTCCTTTAGACTTCGCCGCAGTCGGGTAATTAGTTAATTAATTTATGTTTTTTTTTTAATTATTTGTAAGGTATGCTATACGTACTTCTTTATCGGATATCGATGAATTTTAGTGAGTTTCTGACTTTGTATCACTATTGAACGATAGGAGGCGTAAGAGTAGTATCGAATAATTCTAGATTATTTATTTTTTCTATTTATTTTAAGGGTTTTTATTTAAAAAACTGCCATATTTTTTAGATTTATTTGCCTGAATTTCGCCTAAATAATGTAAAATGAATGATAAAAATAATTATATGGAAAAGTGAATAAAAACGTCATATCACGAACTTTCGGTACAACTGTATATTTTTAGATAACAGAAAAGACTTAAAAATACAAATAAAAAGATGATTTTCTTCTAGAAATTGAACAACTTTATCTCTCCTCATTGTATTTAATCATAACAATGATACTGTAGAAGCATAAATTTATTCAAAAAAGAGTAGTTTCAGTGTAAAATTTTCCAAGAAAGTATCGTCTTGTATTTATTGGTTATCGTTTTCAATAACTTTGAAATGGGTATCGTTTACGTTGAATATAGACGTCAGTGAGCGGTGCACCTGAGCGCAATTCACAAATGCTGAAAGTTACTATCGATGAAGTATACGAAATAAGAGAAGTAAAGTTGTATTTTAAGTGTCATCTTACTTTTTACTGATATTATAAATGTGAAAATTTAGATGTTTGGATGTTTGTTACGCCACATATAACCACGCCAGAACATCTGAACGGATACTGGATGAAACTTAGCGTAGAGATAGATTTATAGTCTGTAATACTTTTTATCCCGGAAAAATGTACGGTTCCCGAGAAATAGATTTGTTTTTGTTTTTCTAGAGGCAAACCCGAGCTAAGCGAGGTTGAGCAGCTAGTAAAATCATAAATTGTGCTAAAGTTGATCTACTTTTTAATTTTCAATCACTGAGGGAACACTCACCGCAGCCCTCACTTGGTCTGTCCACCTCATGGGCGTTCTGCCACGGGCCCTAGTGCCCTCTTCTTCTTCTTCTTCTTCTTTG